AAAAAGATTCATAATAAAAAAAATAAATTTACCATACACCTTGACTTAATATATTATATAATATATTTATTAAAATATGTCTAAAATTAAAAATAAATACACTTGATGATTATTTATATATATAAAGAATAAAGTTTTAGAAAATGTGTTGATTATTTTCTTAAAAAATATAGAAAAATGATTTGTTGTCCAAAAAAAGGAAAGTTATTGAGAGAAATTAAGTAACCTGTCCGGCTACTGACTCAGTGATTATGCGGGCGCCTGGAACATCAGTCTCGGTGACAGTGACGCCTTGGTTTCCGACAACGTCGGCCATGTCAGTGTGACCGACAATACCGGCGCGCTCGTTCTGGGTGGCAGCAGACTGCATGATGGCTGCCGTTCCGCCCTTGTGTGTCTGTCCAAACACCATGGACTCCGCAGTCTGCATCATGGCGGCATCTTGTGGTGCAATGGGCTTCACAGCGAGTTCACCGGAAACGTTGAAGACGTCGCCGTACTTGACGGGTTCTTGCTGGTTGGCTTGGGCTTGGTTTTGACCTTCGGGTCTCCTTGGCTGTCCTTGACTCATATTGTTTTGAGTTTCTGTGGGATTTGCGGTGCACTCAGGACGTCAGGGGAGTATATAAAGTGGTCATAAAGGGATTAGTGAGATGACACGTGGATATGAAAATGAATGACACCGTGGTGACATGTGGATTTGAGTTTGTATGTGGTGACACGTGGCAAAAGATGTAACAGGTGGCAGCTTGCTGGCTTTACTAACGAGATGCATAAGCACGGCTGAAGTATATTTTTTAGGCTGGTGTTGTTGGTATAATTTTTTTTTATAATTTTTATATATTGTTAAATGAATTGATATATTTAATATCACGAGTTTTATATAAATTAAAAGAATTAATTATTTTAATGATATATCAAATTATATAAAAAATATAACAAAAAAATTATACAAAAATCATTTCCCTATTTTTTATTTGGTAGGTTGCTTTTCTAGACCCTTCGCATCATCAACATTTTTTGTTTTTTTCAAAAAAGAGATTAAGTTGTATCCAAGTGAAATTTTATATATTTTAAAATTAATTCTTTTATGAATAATTTTAATCCTAAGAAGCTGATATTTTAAAATTAAAATATTAATTTTCAATTGCAGAACAACTTATTTTATCATGATACAAGTTAATATGAATAAAGGGATTTGAATCAGTGTCTGGTGGAATTTTAAAATTAAAAAATATTTATTTCTAATTACAAAACAAAGATCATAGAAAAAAATAAAATTTATTTGACCTAATATCAATTTTATTCAATTTAGTATAGTATAGAATAAAACATTTTTTATAATAAAAATCTATAAAGATTTTTTTTAGAGAATAGAGTACAAACATAATATTTCTTCAAAAATCCTTAACTGATCCTAACCATGTGAATTTGAGTATACACTTGCTTTGTTCAAAAATAAAAAAATTGAATTTTTCAGACAACCTTTATCATTTTTAATGATCGGCCTCTAAAAGAATGATTAGAAAGAATGTGTGTAAACTAAATTGTGCCCTAGATGATCTTGTAAGAGAGGCTGGAGCTCTGCAAAATGAGTTATTAATTGCTTTGAACACCTTCAAAGACTTTAAAACCACAACAATGTATCAATGACAACAAATCCTAAATTGAATACAATATCTTAAAATAATTATCTTAAAACAAAAGAAATAAAGAAAAACAACATGCCACAAAAACAAATCCGCAAACAACAGACTGTGTATAATTGCAAACAATAATTTTATATAACTATGCAATTCATAACAATTAAACTAATTACTTGTAGATTTAAAATAAAAACAATTAAATTACTTGATTGCTAACACTAAAAGAAAATATATGAATTGATTAAAATCTCGAAACTTGTGAAATTAAATCCTAATCTAGAAATTAAAATTAGACAAATTGCAAGTCCTACAATTGTGCATCAATGAAGAAGAGAAGGCAGAAAACATTCAACCTATTTACATAAACAAATAATAATAATGAACCCATAATAGAAATGAAAACTAACCAAAACAATAGGCAGATCTATTTACAAGACTAAATTATTTCTAAATCCTGAAAAATTAACGAGGTAAATATGAACAAGACAAGAAAACTTAAACTAAATATAAGAACAAGAGTAAATCTTGCACTCAAATATGAAAATCATACTAAAATCTGGAAGAAAAGTCTGAAGGCCTGTGCATGTCCCCTTCTCTTTTTGTTTCTCTCTTTTGTTGGGTAGTTACCTCCATAATTCTCGCTCTTGTTTCCACCAAAATCTACTGTAGAAGGCCATGTCTGAGAGCAGTTTTTCTCCTATTTTGGCTGTTACTCTCAAAAAAATCTCCAACAAAATCTAGATAATCTCACCTACAATATCTCCACAATCTCCTAATTAAGTTAAACTTTGACCACCATAAAAAGACTTATCCTACTTGGACTCGAATCACTCTATCATTATCCATTCAAAACTTAAGCCCCAAATCACCTACGGACTCAACTCAACCCATCATAGAAAATGTGACCCAATTAATCTTAAAGCACGCACGTGACCTTTCTCTCTTTTAATTTATTTTAGGTGTTAACACATAGTATACAAACACAATACAAAAACTAAAAACACCCTAGAATAAGTTTGTCAAATATAGGGGTTGAAGTTAAGTTACAGGATTTAATTTTAGTCTTTATCATTGAACAAAAGACGCCATTATTTGATATTGACTCAAAAACTATGAAATTATTGATGAGATGTTATCAGTATACAATTATCTCATGAATTTTTTGACTGAGTTCCACGATAAAGAAAATTTAAAGCCACATAAATGCCAGGAAAACATATTGTGCTCGTCAACCGTCATGACGTTTCTCAACCGATCTTTACAGTTTGATTGCAAATTTTCGCGCCTATTTATGGGTTGTCTCAAACTGGTAATCTCAGACACACAAAAAGGGAAAAATCACTCTCTCTCTTTTAGGATTTCAATTCTTGGAGAGAGGAGCAGAATCAAAAGAATTTCAGAGAGGGCTCCATGGATGAAGATAACCGCGTAAATGCAACCCCTTCTGGTCAAAAGGCGCCACCGAACACCGCCTCTCATCTCCAGGAAGGAATCGCATTGCTTCTTTCTCGATGGAACGGCCTTCAAATGGCCATTGAGAACCAGTGGGGCGGCCATGATTCCCTCCAGAAATCTCAGCAACTAGCCTCCGATATCTTCTCTTGGTTCACTCAATCCAAAGGTTCTCCCACCGGCCGCTGCCACCAACCTATTGCTGGTTCAAATACTTATTAGCGTTTGTTGAATAACATATATAAACATTCATTTGCAGCAAAACTTCATGTAGAAGATCTGGAAAATTTGCTTCATGAAAACATGTTACTCTCTTTCAATACAGAGATCGAAGACGGAAGCATCGAAGAGGTATTAATTATTATCATTATCAATTTCATCTGTAAAATTAATCATTTTCCAATCATGGTCTTGTTTGATTTATTGGGTTTCTTTTTGAATTCATATGTATATATATGACATTGAGATGTTTGATGAAATGCAACAGATAGCAGAGCAATTGATGGTTTTGCATGAAGAATTCTTGCATGGAAATCATTAGACAGAAGAAAATGAGAATAGTCTGCCTTGGATTGTTTTAATGAAGTGAGGGTAATGGAATGGGACTAGTTCTGCTGTTTTGGTCGTTATTGGAGGAGATGATGACATTTGAGATTCTTAAAATCTTTTGAAATGGTTCTTTTCATCCATCAAACCTTGTTTCTTTGTCATTTTCATCCTTCAAATACAAATAAGTATTGGGTGGATAAATTGTTATTGGGTTGGTCTAAAATTGTGTATCTTAGTGATACAAGTTAAAGATGTAATAAAAATTAATTTTTAATTTATCAATTATTTAATAAAATTCATTTGATACTAAAATTAATATCAACTTTTATATTTTTCATATATATTTATGATAAAAAAAAGTGTATTTAATATGCTTTTAATTTGTATCATAAGGATACATATTAAAAAAAATCCATTGTTATTTATTTAATTAGAGACAAAAAAATAAAGAGGTATGGATGTTGTTGCTAAGAGAAGATAAAATACTGATTATTGATAATTTGTGGGGATGATCACTAAATTTCATACATATGGACAAAATCTATAGCGTAATCCTTTGAAATATGGCCATTTAATCATCAACAAACCAATGATCGGTTGGATGATCAATCTTTATTACACCAAAATCAAGGATCAGACCATCTATAGGAGGCCTAATGTGGTCTCAATCTTGTAAAATATTAGAGGTGTGTTTGTTCGGGAATGATTTTTTTTTTCTCTCTCTCTCTCTCTATTTAGAAAAGTTGAGAAATACTCGAGTATTTTTAAATATCAATATTATAATAAATAAAAGATAATTTTTTTTATTTTTGTCTTTCTTAATACAATTTTTAATCACTAATTTTACCTTTTATCCCCACATTTTTTAAAGAAAATTTTTTCCTAACTTTCCCAATGTAAGATTTGCTTAATATATATTTTTTAATTTCTCAATTTTAACTTCTTACTAAATATAAAAAAAAAAAATTAACAATAACTTTTATACAATAATTTTTAATTTTTTGCATGTTACTTTCTCAATTGCATTTTTAATAAAAACCTAGAGTTCAACTCTTACTAAACAAGTTTGATGTTTAATATTTAGGTATAATTTAAACTAATTAAATAAATAAAAATACTTAAATTTTAAATAACAATAATTAACAGCAGTTAAATGAAAACAGAGTAAACCTACCTCAAGACAAGGGTAATTACTAATGGGTTTTCTAACTTGTTATTAAGGGTAC